TTGTTGTTTTNTNTTTATATATATATATATATATATATATATATATATATATATATATATGTATGTATATATATATATATATATATATATATATAGGTATGTAAGTATGTCTATATGTATATATATATGTTATATGTATGTATTTGTATGTATGTTTATATATATATATAGACATTTGGGATACGTATATTATATGATGATCTCTGGTTTTAGCTTTCACTTTTTTGTGTCTCTCCAATATCTTCTTGATCTGCCTTCCAGTCATAAACTTAAACATGATCACAATGCCCCCAACCCCACACGCCCCTTAATCCGTCACGCAGTAATTATCTGTGCTTACCGTTATAGCTTCGTCATCCTGTCAGCGTGAACTTGTGCCTCAGCTAACATCATCCATTGTCTGGCGAAGACTATTTATAGTTTCCATCAGACTTTTCTGTTGTATCATGTATGCTGGGAAGCAGTGTACAACATCTTATCAGTTCTACCCGACTCCAATAGATAGCAATTGCTGTTTGCCGTCATCACATCCTCCCGCCGTAGGAGAAAGCACATGCATGTGTATGCGAATATGCTGCACTATGCTGTTTTATGTGGGATTTCATGTGTGAGAGGTTGTATGTTTGCCATATAATGAGAGATGCGGAGATAACACAAGCGTGAAATTATACCTGCGGAACAGTGAAAGGCGCCCATGTATGTCTTTCTCATATCAGCCTCAGGATATCTTTGCTTTCGTGAGATGCATGGCATGCTACCGCTGGCAACATCATAGACAACTCGATATCCTCATAATTTAACCTTGACTCATATCCTGTATTCGCCAATAATGACTTCGCTTACTTGAATTGGTGTGAAACTGCTTCTTTTTTTTTTTGACCTAAATTTGTTTCTTTCTGTCTCATGCGTATTTTCTATAACCTTTAGGATCAAACACAGATTACGGGTCCAGCTCCGCCACAGGCACAGACACAACCCACTCAACCACCACCACAAAGACAAGCACCTGGCCCTGTATTTAATGGACTGGACCGGTCGGAACATAGCGGACAAAACTCGTACCAGTACGACTCAACCGCGCCGTATAGCCATCCACCAGCGGGCGCTACAAATTCAACCCTAGCGCAACCCTACGGTATGGACGTACAGGATGTATTCACGACTGTGGGGATATGCTATATTTCATGTGCTATTTCTTCCTGTAGGCATGTGTATATATTCTATATATGATCTTTCAATCACAGCTGAACCTTCTGTGCTTCACCATGGCACGCAGATGCATATTTCGCTACAAACCCGTGCGCCCCTATGTTTCTACCGGTCATTAGCGATAGTCACAGCGGCATCGAATTCATTGCTTACGAAATATCATACAAATTACAGACAGGCCCTGATTTATTGCTTCCATTGTAGAACGGTTGTGCGGATATGACGGAGCAAAGACTGAAGCTCATGAAAACCAACGGCCTCCAGCGTTTTTACAACCCCCCACCCCCACCCCCACCCTCCCAACCCATCCACAATTATCGCAATGTCTTTTCAAAGTACCACAATCTCACTGAAAATGTATGCACTTTTCTTTTCACTAACCGTGTTGTCAATACCCTTCTTATTGACCAGGTGCAAACACAGGGGCACCTCCCAACAACGGCCAACCCACCCAGTACAGACCGCCCACTCTTTTCACTGGATCACAAGAACAGTTTGGCTCGGGCGAGCGTCAAACCTTCAGTCTTCGTTAATTGGCCACTATGAGGAGTCGGCTTGTGAGTTCATTTCAAACAGTCCGGTTCATGCAAAGATAGTCCAGCGAGAAATATTAAATACTAAAGCGGTTTTCATTGAAGTTCATTAAGTACTGGTCAGAATAACGTACCCAGGAAGTGTTATATGTGATCGAGCAATCAATCTACCAGTGTTTGCCATCAAACAACAAAAAGATGCGCGGTTTTCTACTTGAGTGTTGAAGCTGATCTTCATACTTAACGTTTGTGATTAGTACAGAGATTGATTCTGAAATATTAGCCATATATATTATAGAAGTATACATTGCGCGTGCTTATATTGAATAAACATGCTCATGAAACCCATAGTATGTTGTCAGGCCGTCTGTTAATGACTAAATGTCGGTCGCAAATAGAAAAAGAAAATGTTGCTATCGTAGCAAAGCAACTAAATACAATTGCGCTTCAATGTAGCACCGGGAGCTGTACTATATACAAAGCAAAGCGCAATTCGACCACTATCTATCTACTACAAACAGAAATTCCGTATTGATTCGTTTATAAAACAACCATATATAGTATCGAGAAACCTACTACGTATATACGACTAAAACTCAGTTAAACTACTAACTTCCTACTACAACATGAAATTCAGTATTCATTTGTACGCATACATATAGTATCGAAGAATCTACTACAGAACATTGCAGCTGTACTGTATCGAAAATGTGAACGAATGGAAGAATGATAGAACCACTGACTTCTTACTACAAAAAAAAATCTGGCTTTTCTTTAATTAGCAACTTTTTATACATACTTTTAAAAAGATGAGAAACCTATATTAATAAATATAAACATTTACACATGTTTTGTGTTACAAATGATTAATATCACCGCTTTGGGAACTAAAAGCTTGGATTCTGCGGACTGAGTGAGATTATTATTTTGATAGAAAAAAATAATAGAAGATCAGAAATAATGTACACTATGTAGAATAACAAAATGCGACGAGAAAGAAGTGAATTTTAATTTTAATGGAAAATCCAATTTTGAACAAAAATGGTATATTTAAAGAAATAAATCCCCAAAACAATTATGTTTATTTCAGGACTAAAATGATGCATACAGGAATGTAGCCCCCGAAAAAATGTGCGAAATGAAGTGAAATATAAGAAATAATCGGGAATAGAGACTGAAGAATAAGCTGAAGAATAAGAAGTGTAGTATAAATCTATTTGGACAGATAGGTGTGTAAAAAGATATATATGTAAATGTTCGGGAAATGATTTATTGTGAATGCACCAGGTATCACAGAAATGGTGCGGCTGTATTTCGGATGCAAACGTACGTGGGTGCCCGTGAGATAAACCCTTAAACGTATGTGGCTATGTGATAGTCTGTGAGATCATTTGGGAGATCCTGATTTGGGTCATAGAATTCCTGTTTTTTTTTTCCATCTGGATCTTCGTATCTGTCTATAGATATCAGTTAAGTCAACCAATTTAGACAGCGCTGGGCTTCAACGGCCTCCACGATAAAACTATAGCCATCTCGCTCATTGAAAAAGTGAGCTACAATTTTCAAAAACTCGTAAACTTCTATAAAATTTCTGTTTTGCAGGTACACTTCATTTTTTTTTTAATTTCAACCTTTATATATTTATTTCCAAGCCCCTTATAAAAACCTGAAAGGCTAAATCCTATTTCGTTTTTTTAATATACATTACGTATACGCGTTCAATATAGAAGCCCATACATCGTCCATTACGAGTCCGTCATCCGATCAATTTCCCCCTATACTACAGGGAACGGCGCATTCTTCTGCAGCAAGTAGACGATATAGTTCGCCATCCTCTTGGCCTCCTTGTATGCATCATTGACCACAGGCTGCGCCACGGACCTGTCATGATGCAGTCAACAGTCCTGGCCGTGAGTATCTGGTCGTCTGCAGCACAAGTTTTATCGTATCGCCCCCCTTATGACCTCACTCCTCTTTAATATCCATTTTTGCTAAGAAGTCCGGAGTTACGGGAGACCCAATTGGACTATTTAAGTCGTGATGATAATCGTCATCGTCATCATCATCATCCAAGTTAATCGGACGACTTGGCAGCACCTTCTCGGCCGTTCGATCTCGCTGTCTCGGCGCCGACATATCACTTGGGCGGTTATATGGTGGCCCCGTTGTATCGATGCTGTACGTCACGAGTTCTTTACCCTTGCCACGGCTCCTACTTCGCCTTTTGCTATGATCGTTACTGCGGCCCTCATGGTTAGCCATAATAGTATCAAACTTTTCATCTTCATCCACACGCCTGCGGCGTCTAGGCGCCGCCGAGGAATCCATATTGGAGTCTTCCCTGGGAATGTTCGAACGATATTCGGGGCCTGAAGGACCACAAGGCTGAGGATGCGGTGGCGTTTTCTAGGCGCTGTTTGCACTCTAACTAATTTCGGGTCAAGCACGACCGTAACCTTCTTCACTTCCGCATCGGCATATATCTGCGCCGTCTTCGGCAACGTGCGCATCAACTTGAACGGGTCAGGTTCATCATAGCCGTACGGTACGCCTGCCTACCCGAATGACTCCGCCGGCGCCCCTTCCTGTCATAAAGGACATCAGACCCACGGTTCATAGGAAAATGTGCATCTCCTTGACTTTGACATAGACCTTTTTCATCGTCAGTCGTTTGGCTTCCAAGACCTCGTTGTAAAACACTTTGCCAAATCGTTCCACGCCAATTCCGCGGCTTCATTTAGTTTGAGAGGACTTGAACTTTTAAACGATGTTTAAGAGTAGACAAGCACATACTGGTCGTTGAGAAAGATAGGGCCCCCATCAAACCATTCGAGCTGGACGACGAGATCCTCAAACATCATTGTCATTTCATCATCGGTAGACGATTGGACAATATTGCCGGTATCAGTGGTATTTATGGCAAGGTCGACTTGTAGACGGCAAGCAACACAGGGAATGGGTGTCATGGGTATGAGAAAACAAACGTAAATCCGGGGCGGAGCAATTACTGTACTCGGTACTGGTATCGCGCTGAAATTTCAACTCGTATGCAGACAAGTGATTCTTCACATAAGCAATGGTCTGGACGCTGATAAATGATGTATCGCGATGAACAATCACCACTTTTAGTACCAGTACAAATTAAGTAAGAGCAATGGGGCGGCAACAAAGAGTCTATTGTTTGACATCTTCAACACGGACGACGATGAAGACTTTTTTTGTTCTGTCTGATGGAATCTTGAAGCTATTTCGTATTGAAAGTGGCTTTATTTTTCTCTTTGAAAGGGGAAATGATGGCCATCGTAGCAGTGGTGGAGAGGATGTTGGTACAGGTTTTACACTCGAAAGAAGAGTGATTAATGAACGAGAATAAGTTAGTATTTATATTGAAGATAATTTAGATCATTATAGCGTTGCGTTTTTTGATAGTAATTTCAAAACAAAAACTGAAAGTAGTAATGATTTGTGGTTTATTAGAAGGGGTGTGAAGCATAGATGGACACAATATATACTGCGTAAGTGGGGATAAACCTAGATTATACAGATGATCTGTATTTGAAGAGGGATATTAGAAAGTTGTAGAGAAAATTGTAGCGTATTGACAACCAACTGCTGCGTATGATGCCTTAACGAGGCAGTTGTGATAAGAATTGTACAGTATGGATAGACAGAGATGAGAAGGCTCGAAATTATACATTAACAATGCATAGATGGTTTGACCGGAACCGAATGAGAGCGCAATAGAAGAATGGAAATACAAGATGGCTATATATGGAATAACAATTCTCTACTACAAATAAAGAGTTGTTTTTGAGAGTATCATACATGGAGGGATATCTGAGTGAATCGAAAGGTCAAGAGACACACAAACTGTTTTTTTAGTTTAATTTCAAGGATGTTTTTTAAGTGTATGAGACCAGTTTGAATTTTGATTTTTATAATTGAAAGTTACGAAGAAGCAGTAGAGTTTACGTTGCCTGTAGAACAATCCACAATTAAAGATCAAAGGTTGTTTTCGTAGAGTACCATACATAAAAGAATATCTGAGTGGATAGAAAGGTCAAAAGAGCACCGGTTTTTTTAGTTTTTTTAGTTTAATGTAGAGGATACTTTGTTTGAGATAATGCTTTAGATTACGATTTAATATTCTGAAGAAGAAGTAGAACATAATATGACTATAAAAGGTATAGCAATCCACGATTGTAGATTAAGAATCGTTTAGGGTGATCTGAGTTAATAAAGAAACTGGTAAATAATTTGATATATCTTGTTAGGAATGTTGAGAGAAAATGTTATTCAAGTTTGATTTTTAAGGTTTTTTTCTTGTACGAGGTCAGTTTGAGATGGTTGCTTGTTAAGACACGAGAAAGAATGTGAAAGAAAAAAAGTTACAGCTGGGAAGAACAGAATAGAAGAATTCTGAAAGCTGAAAAGGAAGAAACTTGAAGCTTCATGTGTCGAGTATAAACTATAAAGATATATATGGTAGAAATAAGACACTATTTTGAAATGGAGTAAATGCCAGACCTGTATTAATAATTGGAGTGGACAATTGTCAGGAATTAAAATCAAAATATGAGTTGTAAGTTTGTAGTTTTGGAACGTACAACTAAAATAGTTGGACATGACATGAGTTTTAACACAGTATTGTACGCGTGTGAACAAGTGTGCAGATAAAACAGTAGTAGTGCGCGACGGAAAACTGTCGGAAGATGCGACGAACATGTGTGATGTTTAATCGTCATGTAAGGCAGAAAACTTTTCAATTAGTGACAATAAGGAGTTTGAGAATTGTGGAGTGAATGAGAGAAAATGGGTTAAAAGACTGTAGAAGGCAGATCAGATGCACATATTTATGTATGTTGGCCATAGCGCAGAAATTGATGTCGATGAGCAGGACAGAATGGTGTATAGGAACAATATTATTTATTTCAAAGGAGTTAAGTTACAATATATGTACATATGGTATGGCCCTCATAGCCGTTGTTGTGGTTTGGGGAAGATTGATAGGAAGAAGTGGTCAGTGAATTCTTGTTTGAAGCTTGGGCCAAGTGAGTTGACGATGGAGGATATGCGCTGAGTCAATTCAGGCCGGTGCTGACAACAAACTGACACCATCGAGTGTGCCACGTATTCGCTTGCTGACACTAAGTAGCGTATCCACTTTTGTGGTACGGATCGGGTCTGCACCGTGTAGTGCCGTGGAATGGGTTAATGCAGAGTACGAAATGCCGAGTAGACCTGTCAGGTTGTCCGTTAGAATTCGGTTGAGGAGCGAGATTGGGAGTGAACCGATGTCGCACCAGACTACGGATGTGCTGGTTGGCCTAGATCGGAAGTACCATAGGCGGAACCAACAGGTGCGATGACTTGGTTTGGACCAAATTTAATTTAAAAGCAGCACTTTAACAGCGTGATTAGCGAAATTTATAGAAAACCTTTAACAGCGTGATTGGCCTTGGTTGCAGGGGTGCAGCTAAAATTTCCCACTGCGAGGATCGAACTCGCGGACTTTCGCTTAGAAGGCGAACGCCTTACCACTGGGCCAAGCGGGATAATAACATTAAATACATTATGTCCAAAAAAAAATGTTGTGAACAAAAGTATGGATGTACTATATGTTAAGCGTTCAAAACTTGGCTTGAGTTTCTATTTTGGATGCGTGCGTCTTGTAGTCAGAGTTTGTCGTGCCCGTTTGCGGGATGATGTTGATGATGGAGATGGTTGTGTGGAGGTAGAAATACTTGTTTAGGATGGTTAATATTTACATGTGCTATATGAGATATGTTTGTGTGTTTGGGAAAGCGTGAACGGTAGATTTGTCTGTACATGAAGGAACTCACCAGGAATCCCTGTCTTCGTTGCGTGCAGTACCAACTCATTGTTTGAAGTCTATAGGGCAGCGGAACAATTTCAAGTGGCGTAAATCGCGGGCGACAGTTGGTTGTGACAGCTGATGCGCAAATTTGACACGGGATAGTACAAAATATAAGTGCGCGAATGCGAGCATTCCCAGTGAACGACCAGGCAGTCTGTGAAGAGTAATGGGCAAACGATATTTTTCAAAGATGGGCTGTCTTTACAATATATGAATAGTAAATGCAAGAGGATATGTATATAAATTGAGTAAATTTGATCTCGAAATAATTAGATGCTTCTTTGGACTCAAATTTTTGGATGCTTTGTTGCAAGGGTATATATCTTTATGTTCTGGATTACCAACAAAATTATTAACATCGTTGCTCAGCGAGTGATAAAAGATCTCGCGGTACACGAGAGTCTGATCCCAGCCACGAACATCCTATGGGGGTACCTACCAGAAGGCGAAGATATTTGGATCGTATATACTGGCTGGTTAGGTATGTGGTTTGATACGTTATATCAATAATCTGGACTGGTTGTGTGCATAGACTGTGACACCTCCTAGCGTGTTCTCCTTTAATTTTTGCAGCGGTGAACTGTGCAGTGTTGAACCATGCATTTACCCGAGTATCGAGACAATTTAAAATTCCTGCTCGTATATTGGCGCCTAGGTTCAGGGGTTACAATTCCACCCACATACATTGTGATTCTGTTACCATCGTCTTAAAAACAGCAATTCCGACCGACAGGCGTGCACGCAAAAAGACTACCTGAAACTCATCTACAAATTTGTCCATATCGCACTTATTAAAGTGGTTGTCACTCACCACGTCCGAACACCCTGATAGGGATAATATTATTTATTTCAAAAGAGAAAAGTTACAAGTGGAGTTGACAAGGGGGTTCAGTAAAGCATCCATGCTGAGGGCAAGATTTTTTGGCGCTCGTTCATGTGTTCAGCGCGTCTCCCGCTTAGTACGAAGATAGTGGATTCAAGCTGCTTTCGTAAAGTCGGGATAATGTTGGGAGCGTGGGTCGATAGTTTTATCAAGTTGCAATTTCTACGGAAGTGTTGCATGTCGTTTCACCTGGGCAACAGCTTCACTAGGAACACAAAGGCGGATGAAACTGGTGGAACTCCCGTGGCGATTCGGTTGAGAAATCAGTTTGGACAGGAGATACCAAAGAAAGTGATGGCGATTGAGGTTGGGAGTGTCAGTAATTTTCAAATACTGATTGGGATGGGGTCTTGCCGTTAGGGAAAATTGCCCGAAAGAAGAACCATATCGGAGTTATGTCATCCATTTCGTGGAGAGTTTCGTCCAGCATCGGACGGCCCATCACTTTAGCTGGGAGGCTCACTGCTGCTATTGGGCGCCTTCGGCCGCGATCTCTTTGCTGGCGGGGCAGGCGGGCTTGTGGAGCAGAATCGGATGGTGTTGGGTGTGGCTTTATTTAGAGGTGCCCCGGTTTGGGATTTAAGGTCCCGGAGTTCGGATTCGAGGTTGTTCACTTTGGCACAGAGTTTAGATCAGTTAGAGGCTTCTTGGAAGGTTTGGTAAAGCCGGTCCTGACATTTGGTTGAGATTGGCCTGTAGAGTATTGACCTGGGCAGAAAGGTCTGTGAGGCAAGGAGTCCTTGGTAACGAACGACTTAATTGGGGGTTCGGCCTGGCCCAACATTAGTGGCTGTGGGTCCCAACTGGAATTTTTATAATGATAATAAATTTACATTACAGGTCTAACATGTGACTTTTGGTGGGATCTGTGGGGTTTTGAAATTCGGTAGTCAGTTTTACACTGGTGACCTGCGGGTCACCGAGATTTACGTGTCGGAGACGGAAATATGGGTCTAAGGTCCGTCGTGAAAAAAAAATAGGGGAAGTTAAAAAAAAAATATGGGGAACTGAAAAATAAACATGGGGAACTGAAAATAAATATGGGGAACTGAAAATAAATATGGGGAACTGAAAATAAATATGGGGAACTGAAAATAAATATGGGGAACTGAAAAGTCACCTATTATCTCAGCAATAAGTAGCACAGTCCACACAGATTCAAACATTTAATAAGCAGGACTTAACCCAGCACGATTATAAGAACATTCAGGCCATTCGCTACGAATCGGGGGGCTATCCGCTCTCAAAGATGGGAGCATCTCAGACAGAGAAGTGCAAATCCTTGGTCGCTGAACATCAAATACATACTTAGTATACTGGCGGTTATCTCAACTGGACCACGTCTGAGTTGCACGTGCTTATATCTATTCTCTCCCACGCACAGCATAAGTACAAATCAAAAGCCAAAGTTAGCCAAATACGCGCTCACCCCAGCGGACAAACATTATATCTACTCAGTTTGTTCAAGCCGTTGGAGTCGGCTCACAGAATGTGCGTGCACCACACAAAAACTCGATCAGCACAAAACTAGCCTCGTATTTTAATATAGGGCATATGTAAATTTTGTGCTCCATGTATAGAGCTACATTCCAAGATCCCTTGCAAGTTCGGTCCAAAGCGTTGTCTTGAGATATTGATTGTGGTTGCTTAACACCTACCGGTGGGCGATGTGTCGTATCTCGCGCCGCAGCATAATTCATTGTGTCTCTCAGAAGTTTACAGTCCCTTGTATTTATCCCATCTGGTTCACCGCAGAGAGTTATTCGAGTCCTATCAACTTCTGGGGTGCAGCTGTTGCCAAAGACTAGCATTTTCATCTTCTGGGGTACAGCTGATCAGGACCGACCTGAATTGACCCAGCGCATAACCTCCATCGTAGACTCACTAGGCCCAAGCTTCAAACGGGAATTTAATGACCACTTCTTCCCATCGATCTTCCCCGAACAACTACAACGGCTATGAGAGCCATACAATATGTACATACATTGTAACTTATCTCCTATGGAAAAAATAAATATTATCCCTAGCATTTTAATGTCCATGACAGCGGCAATTTTGATGAGTTCTTTAACTCATTTAGAGTCATATATTTTTCTGCTAGCGCAATCTTAGAGTACAATGTAGTAGACTTTAAATAAAGTGCAAATGTATATATTTATTTCTGACCTCATCTTTGGTTTTATACCTAAGGTATTTGTGCTAGTGTTCAGCCGCTTGGGCTGGCCAGGGTAAAATCGCATATGGTCAGTATGAGAAACCTTATGCGGAACACTTTAACACTTCGATGCTTTTCTATTTCAACTTCTCTGCAACTAAATCTCACGCTGATCACATGATGCCTTGCCGCATAGGTTGTGACTCACATAGAACCACAGCTATTATTAAAATGTTGCGGTTGACAGGCTTAATCCACTCTCGGGAATCGGTTGAGAAACTTAATCTGCTCTCGGAAGTCGGTTAAGTAATAACTCAGCTCTTGAGAGTAATTTAAACAACTTGATTAGCTCTCGGGAGTGAGCTACCTCTGATGACTTCCATAAATCAAAGATGGTTTCTTGCTGTAAAATCTGGCCTGAGACCTGTAGTCTTTCAAGTAGGGCCATTACTGACAAACAAAGAGCTTGGCGAAGAGGCCTTGCTGCAATCTGCCATTGACGAACAAACTATATCCAGCACTATTGGCACAATCACACCCACAACCCATACAGTAACCCAACATACAAAGCTAGGCCCAGGCAACCAGAGCACGCAACAGGCCTCCAGAGCAGGCATCAACCTTTTACAGCATCGACTTCCACAACATCAACTCTCAATAACACCACAACAGCATCACCCACCACAACAACACTAGCAAACGATACTTCCACTACAATATCAGGTATGTCCACTACAGCAACACCAGGCCCAAGCATCCCTACCGCCAACACTGCAGCCAACCCTATTACTATGACTCAGGCTGACGTTCAGAATTTTATGCAGCTCATACACCAACAGAACACATCTATTGAACAGTTAAAGGGCACAGTCTCCACCCTCTCTCGGCACGGGAATGGAATGATGACCCCCCGCACGGTAGGAGGCACATCAACCATACTCGCTACCCTCGCGCAGAGCCTACCAGGAGCACTAGAAACAAAAGCAATCAAAGGTAAGTTGCCACCACACGAATAAAAAACAACAGGCCCATAGCTAATACCGACCAAGATAACGATGTCTTGTACTCATCCGCAATAAGCGTGAGACATTCAGCACAGCACAGACGTGATGTCATCCGCTATGTATCGCTTTGGATATATGTGGAGACATACACCAGCCCTTAGTGCAGATGAAGCTGCAGTAAGATATATGTGTTAGACAATTGAGTTGCGGAAGAAGTGAGCTTTATTTTCCCTCCCTCTACTGAGGGTTCTTGTTTGACTCTACCGCTTAGGGCGGGAGTCTCTGAATTCCTTTCATAGGTGTTATATATATGTTTTGACACCTGATATTTTTGTTATCAATTTGCTGACTGCTGGGTTGCTTGTTTGGTCCTGACAACAAGATAGCATACCTTATCACGAAGAGTGGCTGGTTATGCACACACACGCCTGAAAGTGTCACCAGAACTGATAGAACACTCATGGCACCAATCACATCATATGACGAATACACACAGTACGCAATCATGCCAGCCCAGCTCCTCGCTACATTTCTCGCTGCGGATGCAAACCGTAAACCAAATGCAACATGCCAACGATATCTACTAAGAACCCTCTATTGCGCATGCATAACAACAAAACGCTCACAAGCGCATAGCACACCCACTACACGAATTTGCCTCGACTACAACTCTACGCGCAAATACACTTATAAACTTCGATGTGTTTTAAACTATGTTATATAAACTAAGATACAATTTAAGTGAGTTAGGATTTAGCAGTGGTAGCTTGTGTAAGAATGATCGGGACTGCCTCTTGGTAAGAACCTTAATATCCTCGATAACACAGGACGTACCTCTAGCTGTTCTTTATTAAATAATTTTCACTAGAAGTACTAAGTGTTCATGACCACATGTCTAATTTGTAGATAGACATAAGAACGCAAGTCAGGTTAATACATTAGCTAATATAAATAAAGTTCCATCTAAAGAAAAGTTAAATTAAGAAAAAGACTTATTGGGTTTTGGAGATTGGCGGAAAGACCAAAACCTGTAAGTAGTAGTTCAGAGATTATAAAATTTAGTTTATAATATCCTACATCTACTATCGGCTCAAATAGGTCCAAGTAAATAAGTCATACCAAATACTCAGGATATTGGAGCCATCAAAGTGAATTTAGAACACTTTGGAAATTTTGGTAAAAAACTTGTATTAAATTATTTTAAATACAAATAAAAACCAATGTGTTATCTCATTTGATCTTGATATATTAGACTAACCGGAGGCCGTATTTCTACACACTCACACCCAGTGTGGACACATGCACAAGTGTATTGTGCCAAACTGCACCAACCCCACAGCACACGCAGCACTTGAGCATGTTTGGCAAAACAACATGCACCAAGGCTCCCCTGTGCCACTAAACAGACCTTGTATAAACACCCAGCAACCCACTACTACAGTAGCAGTAACAAGGATTCCTCTTGAACATATTCATACAAAAATACGTGTACGTATACGCACCATACCACATCCACTCATAAAAACACTAGTTAGTTTCGCACCCCCGACGGTGCTCCCCCACCATAAGCGTAAACTGTAGCTCCTTAAATTGAAATACCCAGATACCGAACACACTGCCGTACTCGCTGATATATTAGCACATGTGTCACCAATAGGGTACACGGGCAACCCACCATAAGTTATATAAGGAACTTCCATCTGTTAAAGACCATACACTATGGTTGCGAACATCTATTGCTGATGAGATAGCCCAGAATGTATTTACAGGTCCTCGATCGTTCCCGAACCACTAGAACGGCTATGAGAGCCATACCATATTTTCATGCATAGTAACATACATACATTGTAACTTAGTTAATTTTCTTGAAATAAATAATATTATCGCTATACCTATTAGTGATGTACGATAATGGCCATACTACTATTTAATTCCGATTGGCGTGCTAAAAAATTGCGCCCGGACGGCTCTCTAAAACGTCGGCATATTCATCACCTCTCTTACCCCCGCCATTCGAGTATCAACCAACACATAAAATCTAGAACAAAGTCGCTAAATGTACATTAAAAATGTGGAAAAGTCACTAAATGTATATTCACCCTTTTTCTCGATGAAATTGTACTCAAATATTGATCAAATATTGTAAAAGTCGGTCTCCTCTAGGCTGACTATACGATGCCAAGACGTTTACGCTAATAGGACAGTACGTTAATACGTTAAAATGCAAAATGTTAAATAGGTTTAGCTTCAGCCCTTGGTAATGAGCAAAAGATTAGGGGATTTTAGACTGAGACTATTGTCTATATGCTCCGCTCTAATCACTCACTACTTCGGACTATATTTATTTATGTTTTAGTTATTAAGACTAGATATCATTTCATTGAACGCATAATTTACATTTCACGCCTCGAAACAATTACCTAATCAAACTAACCAATAAAATACCTCCAAGTCCAACTTAAGAAAAGAAAAAAGAAATTCCAAACACCAAGTTGGTGCAGTATACATCTGTACCTAGACCCCATCACTTGGTACCTAGCTCCCCATCCCATCTAAGGCATAGACGGGCACATCTAGTTGGCTGGCTAGGAGGAATCAAAACCGTGTTGTCCTAAATTCAAACAACTCTGATCCTGTCCTTTTCTCAGTGGATTATCTTGCTCTGAGAATATTATCGAATTATACGATAGGTTTGTACCAACAACCATTTCATGCCTGAGACCCTCTCTCAAGGTACTCCCGTTAATTAGAGATTCCCAAAGTGTCATTTTCAGGTGTCAGATTTGTATTATTCCTATATTATGTACAATTCTAATTTCAGTGGAAAACCCAATCTCTATTTGGAAAACCACCTAATTGTCCACAATAGAGTCACATACTCTACTGAGTACTGTCACATGTTCAGAATCTTGAATTTCTCACGTATTCCAGTATTATTATAAGTATAAACGTTGATACGTTAATACGTTAGTAATATACGTTAACTGTGCAACTACTATTAGGAACCCGCTATTTTTACAATGTGTATAAATGTACATTTAGCGACAATACTATTTTTTTAAGTACATTTAGTGACTTTATCGTGCAAAATTTGCTTAAATTTAAATTAAAGAGCCTTCGATCCATTTTTTACGAATAAATAAGGGGAGG